ATAAGTTTTTTACTAATTATTATGTTTTTGTATTTAATTATTATTATATTATATATGTTATTGTTTATTATATATATTATTATTATATTATTATATCATTTTTAATAAGTGTACCTATAATGATTTTCCCAGCTTTTTTATTATTTTTAAAAATTTAATAAAATAAGACAAAGCGGGCCTTAAACATCGGATTACAATTTGACATATGTAATGCACAAATTCCCTTAGTGTACATTGTATTACCCGGTTCTCGGTCCTTCAGTCTCTCTTCCCTTTTTTGGTGTCCCGAAAGTCTGGCGCCAAACTGGCCATTAATTATATCAATTCCATTGTCGCAATGGACATCAAAAATCGGCATCTGAATCGGAATTCGGAGGGACTTCTCACCTGGGTGGGAAGTGGTGGTGGTGGTGGTGGTGGCCACCTTTTTTTTTCGCACGGAGTGGAACGATCGAACTGTTTCCCAAATAGCCGCAAAAGGTCAAGAGCTGATGTGGCATTCATTGACAATTAAAAACGCTCGCCCATTGTCCGGGGCACTGATCACTTCATTGTGCGACTGTCCAGCTGCCAGGACACCTCACCTCACCCTTTGTGTTGTCCTTGTACCGCTCCCCCCTCTTGTGTCCCGCTGGCAGGCGATTCAATTGTCATTTGTTGCCCGTTTGCAGAGTGGGCGCGTCACCTTTGATCTCCTCTCCATTCCCTCGATCGATCGCCGGTCGATCTCGTTGGTTCTTTCATAATTTGTGTCACTTTATGTTTTGCGGCCCTCGCTCGAGTGCTGTTTCTGTTTCTCCGCCAGACAATTGAATGCCATTTCGCAATTGAAAATACCTTTTGACCTTATTAAGCGGAAAACCGGGAGGTTGCATGAAAACGCCATGAAAAGGCCTCCTCCATTGTTAAGTGATCGTAATTTATTTGGGCCAAGGCGCCGCCCAGACGGCTTCCATGTCCTGATGGTCAGATGGTTCTGTTCTTCAATGACACGGTTTAAGGGCAAGCAGTTGGAGAAAGTTAAGGGGATTGCATCTGGCCCATCGAGCCCACTCAAATACGAGGACATCTTTTCAGGCACCCAAAACAAATTCACTCAAATATTCTACAGTTCTGAGGAAAAAAGAGGGACGGTCAATAGGTATTTTAGATTTATACGCAAGCCACAACAAAATTGAGAATATATATAACTAGTTTACAAATTTTTAAAGAGTAATCTTTTACAAATGAACCTCCTTTTTTTTTTTTTTTTTGAGAAAATAGTGATTTTTTTAAGGGAAAAATAAAATTAAGAATTTTTGTCAAAAACTGTGTTTTTTTGTATTCGAATTTTTAGAATTTTTTCCTTCGTAATTTTTTTTTGAAAAAAATCTTTAAAATTTTAAGTTTTTGGACTTGATTTCTAGACTTGATTAGGATTTAAATATTGAACTTAACGAGGTCTGTCAATCCATAGTTGCACACTTTGTTTATTTGTTTTGGATATGCATACTTTTTTTTATGAAAATATGAGTATTGATTGCAAAAACAAAGTAGCGAAAATATATAAAAAACAAGAAAGAAAGCTAGCTTCGGCCAGCCGAAGCTTATATACCCTTGCAGATCGTTCCTATTAACTTACAAATCGCAAAAATTTTAAATTTCGTATTATTTTAATATTATTTTTTCTATCCTTCCCTATTGCAGCTATATAATATAGTCGTCCGATTTTTGTTAAATTTAATTCAAAACTCTGAAATATTAAACAAAATCATATCCTAGAGTATAAGCGAATACAATAAAAACCAACGGAGATATAATTTGTTTCCAATTAATTTCCCATTAATTTTTCGATCGTTCCTATGGCAGCTATATGATATAGTCGTCCGATTTTGATAAAATGAAAATTGAAATTCGGAAATATTTAAAAAGAGTCATGTTCTAAAGTAGAAAAGTATACAATAAAAACCAAAAAAGCTAAAATTTATTTCTGTGTAACTTTCCCATTAATTTTCCGATCGTTCCTATGGCAGCTATATGATATAGTCGTCCGATTTTTAAAATATTTTATTCGAAATTCTGAAATATTTAAAAAATAATATTTCCAAGAGTAGAAGGTTTTATTTCAAAAAACACCGAAGCTGGAATTTTTTTAACGTTTCCTTCCTATGGGAGCTATAAGATATAGTTATCCGATCCGGTTGGTTCCGACTTATATACTACCTGCAATAGAAAGAAGACTTTTGGGAAAGTTTCATCGCGATAGCTTCAAAACTGAGAGACTAGTTTGCGTAGAAACGGACGGACAGACGGACGGACAGACGGACGGACAGACGGACAGACGGACAGACGGACGGACAGACGGACAGACGGACATGGCTAGATCGACTCGTCTAGTGATGCTGATCAAGAATATATATACTTTATGGGGTCGGAAACGTCTCCTTCACTGCGTTGCAAACTTCTGACTGAAATCATAATACCCTCTGCAAGGGTATAAAAATCCTATTGAAAATGAAAAAAAAGTGAAATGGTTACGCTCTCACCTTGTATTAGAAAACCTTCCTTGGACCTAATGAACTTCTTGGAAATGTCATACTTTTTCGCCACCAACAATTTTCCGCTGGCCTCTTGTGTCGACTTGGGTTTTGGTTTTTCAGTGCCGTCAGCAAGTCGAGCTCAACCTCCAATTTTGCAGCTCGACAATTATGTTTACAATAAGAAGATCTCTTCTCGTGGAAATTTCGGAGGGGCCAAGAGGGACATCGGCCGATTGCCCAAGAGCAGCTGGCCAGCGGAAAGAGAAGAGCTTTCGATTCCGTGAACGGAGAAACTGCTGAGCCGCTGAGACTTGGGCAATATAGTTGGGGCCGGGGATTTCAACACCTCAGTCTTCAATCTCCCCGGAGAATCTTCCGTGCTGCGAACAGATTCCCACAGGCGGATGGTCGGATTCGCTGAGCCAGCGATTTCGGTTCGTGGGAGAGTCGCGAATCTAAAACTCCACGCGATTCGTTTTACAATCGGAACTATTGGAGACACTGGACACTGGACACACGCCTTGGTGGGCCACGCCCCCCACCCCCTCCTCCCCGTCATCCTCTTCCAGCGTCTTTGGGAACACTTAGGGAACATAAATGTAACGCCATTATCTGAGGAAATCTGCAGCGGAAAACATAACTCAAAAATACACACAGCAAATACAAGTTAAATATAAAATAAGGGGAAAAAAGAACGAAAAAACACAAATGAAATAAGATATTTTAAATTAATTGCCGACGCGTTGAAGACCAAGACCAAGATCAGAAAAAATAAACAAAAAACCAAACGAAAAACAAAAAAAAACAGTTCCATGCACGTGACTTGTGACGGGAAGAGTCGGACACAAAATATCCAGATTCAAAAACTGAACAGAAAACAGAGAAACAAAGCGAAATGAACATTTAGATTAGATCAGTTGCATCAGGAGCAAAAGTTCATTCAGCAGGAGCCAGGGAAAAGAATGTCTCGACCTTGGGGATACCTATTAAAAAAGGTTTGTAAGATTAGGATAAGAATATTAATAATTAAATGTTTAATATACCACTTTTTTGCAGAATTACCATTAAAAATATTGAAATAATATTACCAAAATAATTACCAGTTTAATGTGATTTTTAAAGGCCACTAGAAAAGGGTACTAGAATAAACAGAAAAACCGCTAATGGGCATTAGGACTTAACCCTTATATCCTTAAGTTCCCACCATACCAAAATACCATCCCACAGATAACGCATATGCCCCGTAATAGAAAGAGTGGGGAAGGAATTTCAACATTTCTCATAGAAAGACATAATTTTCAATTTAATAAAGGTCAGGCCAATAAAAACCTATCAAAACTGAAGATAGATGCGAGCTACGTGCGACTGAAAGGGACAAAAGGGTTGACGCAGGCTGCATGCAAAGCAGCGAAAGCGAAGGAGAGAGAGAGAGAGGGAGAGAGAGTAGATCGAGAATGTAGAGGCCATGAATGGCATCGCATAGTTGCATGTGCGCCTCATTCGGCTGGATCTTGGATCTTGGACCTGGCCCAGAGATCACTGGCCAAGATCCCTGGCCAGAGATCACACGGAGAGGCTGCCGCAGGGAGAGGACACAATAAAATCGGACCGATAACCATCTTTTAACTCGGGGAGGGAGCAGGAGAAAGGGATGGGAATGCTTGCCCTCTCTGTCGCTCTATCTTTGGCATATTAAATTGTTGAATCAGTCACCGAGGAAGGAGGCGGAGGAGTTGGAGGAGTTGGAGGAGCTCCTCCGCCGGGCAGACAAATCGGAGCACGTACACCGAGTCCGAAATTAATGACAATTGCTGATTGTGTGCGATAAACCCGATTCGGGTACTCCGGCAAACCGCAGAGGAGAACATCAAAAATCCAGGCCTCGGTGAAGTGAAGGTGCGCGCGTAGATTCCGGCCCAGCGATAAGGCGGGAAGAATTGGAGATCTCTGGAGAGGGAAAGGGAAGGGAGACGGAGACGGAGACAGAGAATCAAGAGCGGCGACAAACATTTCTTGTCGTTAAATCGCTGGTGTTTTGTGTGCAGCTGACAAAAGGGACAAAAAGGTGACCCATACCCATGCCCAAAACCAAAACCAAAACCCAAGAGACAGAATTATTATATGGCTCATAAAATATTTGAACAAGTCTATAAATGCCGCGTAATTCTGCTGCAATTAAAGCCACGGCGAGGATCGTAAAAGGAAATTGTTTGGACACTTTTATGTCTCTCTTACTCTTCGGGGCTCTCCTCCCAAAACGGTGCGTATGCGCAATTTCGGTGGGAATATATTTATATTCCGGGTGTAATTGATATGGCGCCAGTAGAGTTAGGGATCCCCGATCCCCATGCCTTCGACCACCCAGGTAAACTCTCCACACACTTTTGTACTTTCAATTGTTTGTATTTGATGTCTAAAAAGTTAATACCTAAACAAAGCTAAGTTACATCGAGGTGTGTATAATCGTACATATATATCTTTAGGTATAGGTATATCCGTGTATATAATCGGGGGAGATATCTTTCATAGCTCTTATGGGCCATCGTGGAGCGTTGTGTTTTCACTTTAATCATCTACTATCACAGCATCGTAATACAAGGCAAAGTATATCTTAGTACACTTAGTATCTAGCGGAATGTGCGGCAGATTGTTGGCGAGTTGACGACATATAGTATATATAAATAATACAATAGAACTTACTTATTATAGGGTCAAAAAAAAAAAGAATTACATTCGTCTTGAGATATCGAGAAAACTGGGTATCTTCATTCGGTTTTAGTTTGGTTGTTCTCATTACTTATTCGGTTTTCATTCATAGCCTAGGGATTGTCGGGGATTCCTCGTGATTCGTCGTGAGAGGTATGGTGGCGTGAGTAATAAATATAGAATGTTTAATAAATTAAGGATGTCTTCATGGAATGAGCCTCGTTTTCTGGAATGGAGGTTTCACCGGTTTTGAGTTTTTTTCTCTCCTTTAGCTTTCGATCTGGCTCCTTGGGGTCACCGCCTTGGGGGTGGGGCTCACCCTGCAACCCTTCCGCTGCCGCTGACGGCTGAGAATCACGCGGATGCTCTTCATGTACTGCACGAACTTGAATTTGGCGAACAGCGCATCGTTGGCCAGATCCGTGGAGTCGGCCGGCGGCGGTACGTCCACGCCGCGGGCGGCCAAGGTCGCCTGCTGGTTGAGCTCGACGGGATTGGACTTGAACTGATTCAGCCACTTCTCCATCACGGCTCGCGGCTGGATCCTGAAGGTCACCACCGGCTGGGCCTGCCGCCGCCGCTTCTGGTGGCGCAGCTTCTTGCGCGGATTGGGGGCGTACAGCAGGTTGGTCAGGTTGATCACGTCCTCCACGCTGCAGAGCATGTCCCTCGCCGACTTGCGCAGCCGCCCCAGCTCGTCGGCCAGCACGCTCCGCGCCTGCAGGTTGACCACGTCCCAGTGCATCTTGGCGTTGCGCAGGTAGGTGAAGGTGCCCACGAAGTGCTGCAGGTCGCGGTGCACGTGGCGCAGGTTCAGCTGCAAATTGAAAACAGAAGATGGGGCTTGGGTTAGTTGGTTGGCCAGGACAAAAATAGCACATGTAAGATATGATTTGATTGATATATGTTACAAACGAGGAGTTCTATCGTAAAATCGAAATATTTTCAAAAACCTTTTAATATTTTATAAGAAATCTTAAAGTATCTGAATTTCTATCGGGCACATATTTTTAAAAACCCTTTTTTAAAAATTTTATCAATTTTAGATTTTAAATTTTACGAGATCTGTTATAAACGAGGAGTTCTATCGTAAAGCCGAAATATTTTTAAAAACCTTTTAAAATAACTGAATTTATAGCCGGTACATATTTTAAAGATATTATTTTAATCATTTATATTAATTTTAAATGATTTTCATAGTTAAATCCCACGATTTATATGATCAATTTTAGTTTTAAAATGAAATTATAGATAAATATTTGAAGGTCTGTGTTATTGAACCTTGAAAACCTTTAATGATATTATAGTACCGGTCATAAAGTTCCCACCATGGAATTGTAAAATTAAAGTATTAGATATACGAACGTGTTGTTCGCGTATCTATACTGGCAAACATAGTGGCTATATGTTATATAGACCGTCCTATAGTTCGATTGTTTTGGGTTGACTGAACCCGCGCTGCCTGCTGCCCGCTATCCCGCTCCCCCTGCCACCCTACCCTCTCTCCCTCCCCCTTCTCTTCCCCCTCTCGTACTAAAACTTTATCTGCCCGGCGGCTGAAAGTGAAAATCGAGCCGAACGCTCGGCGCTCTCTCGTAACTGTTTCTTGCGTTCTCGGCTAAGCTTCGGCTGGCCGCTCGTGACGTATTCGTATAGTCGGGTCTTCGTTTCATTCATGCCGCTCACGGTTCACGTCTCACTTCTCGCCCTCTCTCGCTCCCTCTCGCTTGGGTTTTCGGGGGAATCCACGGCACTGCTCGCCATGAATCACATATCACGTATACGTCCCGCGTTCCCACGTCCCCACAGACCCATCATCGTAATGCAAACGCGAGTGTGTCATTTACAATAAATGAGCGTTGAAAAGTGCTCAAACATATTATCGTTAAGCTCCTTCGTTCTTCCGATCCGCTGTGTTTCGTTTCGATCCCCTATCCCCTATCAGCAGTTATATTTTTTACGAATATGTGCGAAAAATATATACATGTGACGTCAAAAGGCCGTCGCTTCTCGGTATCGAAACGATCCAACTAAAAATAGATCTCTTCTATCAGTCGTCCGTCTTGGCACCTCGTCATCGGATCGGGTTCCGTTCTGGGTACTTGGTACGGGGCACTAGACACCGGGCACTGGGCACTGAGTACTGGGTACTGGGTACTGGGTTCCGTTCCGTTCGGGGATGTCAACAATTAGTTGGCACAATTGGCATTGACGTAGCCGATATTGGCCAAATATTGACACGCATCCCGAGTGGCAAGTTCCCCAGTTTGTTACAGAGCGAGAAAAGCTTATGAATTTATTTATGATTTTAAAGTCCTACGGCTGTGTTGTAATTTAGAGATATTTGCTATCTCAAGAAACATTCAGGAAAATATTATATTTAATATATTATGATTTTAAAGAGATTTGCAATCTCAAGAAACATTCAGTAAAAGAATATAGAATCTAGACCTTACTGAAGTAACCATAGTTTTCTACGCTTTGGCTTGCCTTTTTCCATTCAAGTTACCACAGTTTTCTCACAGTGTAGTCCCTGGTTCGGGTACTTTTCCCCAACTATGACGACAATTGAGAAATTTCAGCGAAAGCCAAACTTCGCTCATCGCCCTGAATAGGAGATTGAGTGAATCGGCAAATGAATGAAATGAATGGACGGTGACTATGACTATGGGATGTTGGCTAAGCAGTAAAAAACGGCGACCTTTGAGATACACCTGTACTCTGATCGTGACTTTTGGCTGACTTGAGGTGATGCGGCAGATCTCGTGGTCAAGATGTTGGCTCTCTGGTTTTTAGTGGTGGGCCCTATAAAGCATTTATGACCATGCCAAGTGAACTACCCTCATCTGGTTATCTGCAGATAATTCTGTCTTACACGAAACTTTCCCGGACACCTCCGAATTAGCACGTCGAAAACCGAACCGATCTCGATCGATCCACCCCCACTGGAACTCGATCACTCGAACCAACCGAACGACCCTCGCCTAGATCTGGGTTAGACCCTTTTTGGGGCTGTGGTCACGTATGTATTGACTCGTACCCGCCGCCCCGATAAGCCGGACGAGGCGATTAGTCAATTATTCCGCGAATACTGGCTCCTACATTCCTGAGCCAACAAACATTCAACATTCTCTAGCCTACATACACCCCATACACTCCCTCCGAAGCGACATTATTCACTGGCAATTCGGCTTATCGGTCACCTCGCTCGGTTTTTTCCTCAGCTGGGCTTGCTCATTTCCCATGCCAGGGCGAAACTATTTCCGAATTCCCAGACCCCTAAGAAAAAAAAGCTTCATATTTCATTACTTTCCTCTATCCATCGACGCCAATAACTCTCATAATTCAGATATTGATGCCGAATCCAATTTGAAAATTTGATTAGCCACTGTTTGTTGTTGTTTACTTGTCAGAAAAGCGTAAATAAAATGTGCCGCTTGATTTTGATTTTATGTTTTGTTTGTGCAACGAATTAACCACTTCGCAATTGAGGAGCCTCATATTCAGTTTTAACTTTGATTCGGCTTCAATTCGGATCGATCCAATATATACAAGGGGTGCCGCAGCCAAAAAACGTGATCTTGGATCAAGGCCGATTCGAGGGGGGATCTATCTAAACAATATTCGAAAGGGGAAAAGGGGAAAAAAGCGCGCGCGCGCCGTCAATTTGCTCTTAATCTTAATGTGGTTATGGCATCGATTGCTAATGTTTTCCCTCGTGCTGTTGTTGTTTCTTGCCAATGCAAATCGACGGTTAATGGGGCGTCCCGAAATGCGAAATGCCGGCCAGCGGCTGACGAATCGAACGAGGTGCGCTCGTAAAGTTGATGCTAGTATTTTCTAGTTACAAAAAACTTGTCTTAGTAAGCTTAAACCTACGCCCTCGACCATTGTGGGCTTAGCTTAAAGATTCTCCCGGTTCTGTTTATCGAACTACAGTGACTACTCTCGCTGGCCAACGGCACGATTCCTTCTCATATGACCGCTCCACTCGCCATTAACTTGTGACGGTCTGTTTGCACCTACGCAGGCCTCACGTGACCCTCTCTCTTTTTTTTTTATCACCTATCTATCTATCTGCCTAGCTGCCTGGCAACAGAAGAGCCGCCCCTCAACCCACCGACCGAGTGTTTGATGTTTGTAAATGATCCAATAATAATGCTGTATTCACACCCCATCTCCAGGGTCTGGAGAGAGATCTTGGGACAACTCACCTGATTACTGCTGTTGCTCAGCCGGGGCAAAAACGTTGTGTAGTTGCGCATGTGGAACTGATACCTCTTCATTTTGCGTATGTTGAGGGCGCTTATGTTCTTCCTGGCCAACGTGTTCATATTCTCGACCGGGGTCCTTTGGCTGTCCTCGACCTGAAGGCCCCTCAATTCGCGGCCCGTTTGCCGCTGCAACTTCTGCAGGATCTGTAATAAAAATATAAATAATAAAAAAAGTATTACAAAATTAAATAAAATAATTATTTAAAGAATGGTTTATTTTGTGTACCCACCATGTGCCGCTTCTTGCAGCGCTTCGTCTTGTTGCGCTTCTCAACCAGGCCCGTTGGCTTGCTGTTGCAGGTGTTCTCCCAGTCCAGGTGCGTACTGCTGGCGTTCAGCAGCTGCTGGAAGGTCGCCTTGAAGTTCACACCCGAGCGTTTTTGCAGATGCTTCAGCGGGGCCATGGTAACGGCGGTACTCAGAGATGGGGCAGCCGAGACGCCCCCAAAGGCCCCATCGCCACCGATGCCGCCGAAAGCCATATATAATTGGCACATGAGCAAGGCGAGCGTGGCCAGCGAACAGATCCTGTTCGGATGACGTCGATCCACGAGGGGCGGCCTCCTTGTCCTGGCCGTTTTGCTGCTGCTCCTGCTGACGTCGAGCGGTGGGTCAGCTGCCGTCTACAAAAGAAAAAAATGAAAAGAAATCAAAAAAAAAAATCAAAAATAAATATAAACAAAACTAAGCCCTTAACCCTTTCACCTGCGTTCTTCGCGGCAACCTTGACGTCAAACTTTGGCTTATATTTAGCATAAGAAAAGTCGGACAACAGGTTATATCTATGAGGGCTGGCTTAAATCTTCCGAAATCTACAGAAATCTTCCGAAATCTTCCCCCAAAGCGAGACAGCAATTACCATAAGTCAAGACTAACGGACGAACGCGCGGACAACTGAACCGACTGGTTATATATTATCTCCCCCTTGGCCAACTTTTTGGCCGTATATAAGGCAAAAAACTGAAAACCGAAAACCCAATACCAAATACCCAATACCCAAAATCCGCGGACCCAAAGACACGTGAGTGAGTGTGTGTGTGTGGGTGAAGCGCGTTGATGATGATTGTTCGTTCGGCTGTTCGGGGATTCCCACTGGACATAAAGTCACACACATACTTATATGCACATTTATAATCGCAATTGTTTGGGGGCCCGAAGCGTGCGTGATTTGTTATTGTTATTGTTGTTATCGCTTTGCGCTTTAGCTCTATGTGTATTGCTGTCTTTATCTGGCTGACATAATTATTTAAAATTAAAAATAAATTTCTTTATTTGGCCGCAATTTCTGATTTTCTGTTTTCTGGCTGAATCATCGTGTGTCGGGTGGAGGTCGACTGGCGGTGCCATTGGCCACCGCCATCGGCAGGTGGTGGTGGTGGTGGGGTAGGCCCTGCTGGCTCCGCACGCGTGTGCGCGGTGTCTACACTGACCAACATGGTCAACGAACTTCTGGAACTTGTTGCAAACTTTTGTGAAATTCTTGGCTTTATCGCTCTTACAGTCTTGGACTGTCCGGACCCTGTCCATGCCAAATCTCTGACGCCGGTTGCCTCTACCGCTGACGCATCCACTACACCCAAACCCCCCGCCGCACGTAACGTGTAAATTAATTTCACATGCTTCGCTCTTTGGCTGTTTTTCGTACTTTTCCTAATTTTTGGTGACAGACGTAGGTAGTTGGGAAATGCGGGTCTTATCCCATAACTCTTCCCTTGATCCTTTCCCCAAAAATGTACGTTTTTTCATATTTATCATTATGAGCTACAACATATTTGTGATTCATGCCCTAGCTGGAAATTCTGAAAGTGATCCATAAGTTATTAGTTATTTCAAGTGAATCATGGGAAAGCGGGAAGCTGGGAAGGTCCCTTCCGGTTGATAAGCAACCATTCCTGGTTCCCTAAGATATTATAATGAAAGCATTATAGCAAATAATTTCATCATATGGGGGCTACGTGACACCACGGCCCTTCCTCGGACCCTTACAGCCCTTTTGCGAGAACTTTTGGCCACAAGTGTCGAGCGCCATTCGCTCAGACACCTGTGCACTTATCAGGAAACCAGGCACGCACAGGTAAGTTCCGCTCTCTTCCTAGCCATACAAACAACATAACAAAGCAAAGCGAAACGAAAACAAAACAAAAATCCCCTTAAGTAGTCACTTCTGTACTCACCATTTACATAAAAATAGTTGGCTGGGAAATCCGCACAAAATTCGTACTTGGTTGACACGCACTTGGGTTTTTTACTTGGTAGTTTTCTTTTTGATTTTTTGCCGGAAGGAAGCTTCCAGAATGTAACCAAAAAAAATATAAAAATAATAACAAGAACTTGGCGAACGCGGATTGGCAAGTTGGCGATTGGATGTATCTTTGTATCTTTTTATCTTTTTGTTGGAGCAGGAGGAACTATCGCGTTAAGTGTCGACGCGCTGCCTTCGACTGTCTGCTATGATTTGATTCCGATCCGATCGAATGGCCCGCCGTCGAAGTCAAAGTCGCTGTCGATTTCTCGCCGGGTGGAGAGCGTGGCGATGCCGAGCGTGGAGTGGAGTAGACTGTTGTTTTGTGGAGTGGAGTGGAGTGGAGTGAAGTGGATTGGAGTGGCTTTCTCGTCGCCTTCCTCGCTTCGCTTTTTTCGCAGCCTTTTTCCTTCTTTTTTCGCAACTTTTTTCGCCTTTGGCTGTCTTTGACGGACTGAACTCCTCGGTTACTATGAGCATACTAATGAGGAGGCGGACGCCCAACCGCCGGTCGGTCCGCTCGACGGCCGCCGCTCGCTCCGGAAGCCGTGCGAGCGGAAGAGAGACGGCTACACCGGGAGCGTGGGAGCGGAAGGGGAACGGGAGCGGGGAGAGCCTCTCTCAGCGGCGACTGTCGGTTGTCATGAGTGTGCAAGAAAAGCGCTCAAAACATTCGCCGAGTGCCAAAAACAAAGCGAGAAAGCCATAAAAGAACACAGCTGAGCGAGCGAAAAGAAGCAAAAACGGCTCAGAATGTTTTGGGTAAGGACAGAGAGTTACCCTGTAAATAACACAATTTTCGGGAATTTTTTTTAGGCTAGAAATAAAGACAATAATGTCTATAAAAATACCAAAGGTAATAAGGAAATATTAGTTTTTATTTTTCATACATTTTTTTGGATTTGTAATTAAAAAAAACATACTTTGGATAAGCTATTTAGCTATAATTAGATCATTCATAAGAACGCATAATTTTTTCCGAAATGATATGGATTATTTCCTTGACGCAATGCAAATAGTCCAGTGAATGAGTGTGAAGAATTAAAAATAAAATTGCTGAAGAATAAAAATATAATAATTTCTGTTTTTTAAGTGAGTGAGTGTGAATTCTCAAAACAAAATATTCCTTTTAAATATGTATTATTAAGTCAATTATACCAGGAATACTTTTGAATGTCGAATTTCTGATAAAAAACTATTAGAAGATAGTCAAGTGGTTAGTCAACGCCGCTAAGCCGGGGGAACATGATGGATTTATAGCCCAAATTACCCGAGGGGGGCCTAGAAAACCGAAAACCGTTTAGTTATTGATTAGGCCAGGCCAGATTTCAACACGAGTGGAAATACTACTCAGAGCTCATTGCAAATTATTTTGAGAGCGCTCCCCTTCGGATGACACATAATCGGTTGGCCGACCGAGCGGAGTGATTGATCGATCGTTAGGTGGGCCGATCTCAACCAGATAAGGCTGCAAACCGAGCGCTCTATGTGTACTGTATATCCGACTCTCCCGCTCGCAGATAAACAAAACACATGTTATATTTGCCGGTCTCTGAAAAACGTCTGAAACAGTCTGAGAGAGCGAGAGGCTGCCTCTTATCGAATGACTTTCACTCACCGCCGCCACTTCCGATTCTCCGATTCCGATTCCGATTCCCATTTCGATTCCGATTCCAATTCCAATTCCGTTGTAACCCCCGCAAATACTTGCCAACTTGATGGGGTGGGCATGAATTTCAGTTATTTCCGTTCAATTTCGCAAGAATATATTACTCATACGCTCTGTCGGCTGCCGACGGCCGCCAATGACGACACGATTTTTCAGCCGCGAGCCGAGCTCTCACGCTCGCTAAAAAAGCATAAAAAAAGCGAAAAAAGACAGCGATTCATTCATGGTTGCGGTCGCAGAATGCGGATGCCCCCGAACGGAGAAGGGGGCCAAAGGGGGCGTGGCTGAAAAGCGGTCTAAATTTCACCGAGCGCCAAAACCATGATCAATCGAAAGGCAATTGAGCACTCATCGTTACTCATGGACAAGTGGCGGCGACGTCGCCGCTTACCGCTTACCATACCGCTTACCATGCCGCTTACCGCTCAGCGCCACTCCCACTCCTGCCGCCCACCGCAGACGTATTGTAGCCATTGTCATGACAATCATGATTGGGCCGAGCTATTTTTAAACTATTGTGTCGTCGAACACTGGGTATCTTTGCCTTTGCCTTCGCCTTTCGGCTTATCGTGTTGATCTGTCCAATTGGCGGTTACCGATTTCAATTTGGATTTCGATTTGACCAAAATTGTCTATATGTATTATCGCAATCAGTTCGCCGTTCGGTGGCGTTAGTGTAAAACCCTAATGGCTAATGCATGACAGCCGATGGTGACTGGGGTGGCGCGGTGGCGTATGAGTAATATTTGACGTCTTCGCGCGGCGATCATGTGGGGGAAAAATGAGACACGCGTACGGCACATGGGGGAAAACTCTCGGAACTCTCGACGAGATTGAATGAATGGAAATGGAAAAGTTGTGCGGGAGATTTTTTGCATGGGTGGAGGAATAAAACTTGAATGAACTTTAGCTTGAACGGCTAAGTTCGTGGAAATGTTGCAAGGGGATTAACTTTCTCGCAGCTCATCTAGAATCTTTAATTAGAAATGAAAGGTAATATTTTAAGTGGCTTATTAAGTGCATTTCGAGATTGATGGCAATCAATGTATGCTAATATGCTTCGAGAAGTATTTAATTTGATAGACAAATAATCTGTACTTTCTGTATTATTACACATTTAAGAACTTTATCCACTTTTTCAGATTTTTAAAATAATATTAAGGAATATAATGCGACCCAATCATAAGACAAATTATTAAATATAAATATAGTTAGCTGATAAATAATTTGGAAATTTCCAAGTATAGGGTATTTAACATTATTACAGTTTTATAAAATCTTTTTGGTTTTTTTTACAGATTTTTTAAATTATTTTAAGTTTTAATAAATATTTACAAGTAATTATTTAGGAATGTTTAATTTCTCTTTATGAACTAGAAAAAGGCAGGGAATCTAAACTCAATCTAATCTTAAAATATAAATTTTATAACTTACAAAAGGAAGCAGCACTGGCAACTTCCGGAGAGTTCTGTTGATAAGATCGGCGATGAATTCGGGGTTTTCAAACAAAATCCGCGTCAAGTGATCGCTATTTTATCAAATCGTATGTGAAATGAGTGGGCATAAATATTATTCAGTCGTCGCCGAAATTCCCCAAAATTGATATAATGTTTTGTGATTGGAATCTAGGTTGTGGGTAAGTTAGGTAGGTAGGTGGGCTATGATAAGAGTCCGTGTGTCGCCCCCGCAGAGAACTTTGAACCCGCCGCAATCGCAATCACAATCGGAATCGCCGAGATGCTGCTGCCAGCTCATCGCGAGGAATTTGAGTGGCTGTAACCGCATAATGCTAATTTATTGTCCAATCGATTTGAAACATCAACTAAGAGCTGCAAAGTCAGAAGGAGAACGAAGGCGGCAGCGGTGAAAGTGAGTCATAAAAGCAGCGGCGAAATCGCTGGGCGAGAAAACAATACCAAATATTTTATGGCTAATGAAATTGGCTGCAGTGTCAGTGGATTTTTTTTTCGTTATTTCCCTTTTTTTGTTTTACTCATCGCTGTACACACATTTACTCACTAGTTCATTCATAGAGACGCTCGCACCACGTGGCGTATGAGCAATTTGCAATTGCAAATTAATAGCCGGCCGTGTTGATACTTCCTGCAGAGCAGAAGGCAGAAGGCAGAGAGCAGCGATCAGAGTGGACCAAAGAAAAAGGGGGCCGCGGGGTCTTTAATGCCCGCCAATTTGAGGGGATACCACGGCGGTTTTCATCTTTGCCGACCCAACGAAATTTAAAAGTTTCACACATAACAAAGTGCGAAGGATGCAGTCAAAAGAGCCCAAAAAGAGCCAAACTTAATTAGCGCCCATTGCAAAAATATTTACGGCAAAACAAAATAACACCCATTAAGGCAGCGGCTTTGGATGAGGGGGGCAGAGGGGGTGCCGAAGGGGGGCGGGGTTGAGAGGGGGGCGCAAATGCGTGATGATCACCGGGTAACGCCCCTCGACAAAGCCCCGAAAACGGAGCCACAGCAGCAGCACCAGGAGCGTCGTCAGAGGGGGTGGCAAAGGGGAAGGGGGGTTGGAAGATGGATGCATATGGAGCGACCATCAAAAGCACAGTGCACTGCGGGAAAAGTCCTAAAATTATACACAATTTTATGTCCGTTTTGTATCATTATTCAAATTAATTTTATATTTCAAATATTATTTGATAATTATGTAGAATAATTTTTAGTCATTTAAAAAACTTAAAAGATATTTTCAATTAAATTAGCTAGAAATATTTATTATTTTTACATAGTTAATAAAATACAATTTTAAAGATATATTTTTTACGTATATGCAATGAAACAAGAAATTAAGTGACAAAACTATAATGTCTATAATCCTTAATGTTCATATTAAAAAAAAATATTAATAATGCACCCATAATTATCACCCTTAGCACTAATATATGTTTTGTACTATTATATTTTGAAAATAAAATAAATAAGAAATGTTATATATATTTTTGATATTTTCCGATTCACTGGTATAATATGCCATTACTTCTTCCTCCTTTTATTTTATAACTTTTCTAGTGGACTTTTCTCGCCGTGCTGCGGCCAAAGGGAGCGGGACCCGGCGACTCATACTCACACTCATCCCACATCCACAGCCACATCCATGGGAGGTGCAAACGCCTCAACGCAGCGCGATTTGATCCCAGCCGATCCATGGCAGCCCGTCCCAGCCCATCCGTGCTCACGTTCTTGGCCATGGCCCGTCATTATGAGCCGTCACCTTGTTGTGTAGACATTGGCCATGGCCACCGCACAGCTCAGCACAGACGGCAGACAAAGATGGAGCCGGTCGGCGGATGGTGGATGGTGGATACTGTATGGTGGATACTGTGGTGGTCGATGATCGGCAGTCGGTGGTCAGAGGGGATGCAACTGCTAATCCGGTTCGAATGCGGCGGCGGCGGCGGCAATCGCTGGAGTGAAATCAACTCGTTAACTCGTTACCAAAACTGATCCCATTTAGCGGCGGCGGCGCATCGCATCGCACAGGCGAACCGGCGCCAGTCGCACAGCCCCTCGGAATGCCCTACACCAGAATTAGGGGGCTTGGATCTATGGCGAATGGAGCTCACCTAAGGCTAGGATTAGAGGTTGCTTGGCTGAGGACCAACATGGGTGTTTAATTCAATGAAATTAATAGCTGAAAAATATTTTAGATTTAAAATAAATAAATAAATGTAATTCCATATTTTATGGCTGAATAATTATTCATAATTATATTTAATTAAAAGTGTATTCTATATTTGTAAATCAAATTCTATTCTATATTTAGTTGCATGAAATTCCAAGTTGTTGTGTCTTAAAAAAAGAGATTTACCACTTCATAAAAAAAAATTATTAATTTTAATCAAATTCCTAGTTTCTATAAATATAAAAATGTAATAATAAAATAAAAAATAATAAATTTAAATGTTTATTTCTATTTTGTAATTCATTTCAAAGTTATATACCTTTTTCCAAAACTTTTAAAATAAATTAAAGTTAAATTTAAATTAAAACTTGAATCATTACAGCGTATTCCTTGAACGTTTTCGCCTTGCCAAAATGTTAGAGAACAAAGCGGGCCACTGGGGGCGTGGTGAGCAAAGGGGGAGGGGGCAGGGGGCAGGGGATGCCGGGGTGGAGCCCTTACTTTGACTTTGGCTGTGGCGCATTCGCACTCGCATTCGCGTCATCAGCATCATCATCGCCAACACCTTCATCATTATCGGCGGTTGGCGGTTGGCGGTTGGCGGTGTCGGCGTCGGCGTCTAACCCATATGCCCATGCTTAACCCATGCTTAACCCATGCTTAACCATCGCCCAAGGCGCTGGCTGCTGCTGCTGTGGTGGCGGCGTTGCTCTCTCATCGTCCATCCTCCGCCAATTGCCAGATCCCTTTGTGCCAGAAGGATCCCAGTCTTCAGTCCCAAAGTCCGATCCCTCCCGATCCCATATACCATCCTTTGCGATGGTAGGTGGCTGTGATGATATACTTTCGGCTCCTTCGCTGTTTGCCGGTTTGCCTGTTTGGCTTAGCCCGTTGAAAGGGGGGCTTAAGGTGCGCAGCTTCCGCTGCAAACTAGCAATATTGTTGCATTGTTATTCTTATTGTTATTGTTTTTATTCCTGGGCCCCAAAAGAGAGGATATTGGAGCCTCGTCGGCATCCATGTTATTAACTTATTTTCAACCAATAAAACGGCAATGAAGCGAGGGACTAAGGGACTGAGGGACTGAAAGACTGAAAGACTGGAGACTGAGGTAGCCGCAAACAGGCACCGCAAATCAGTTCCCACAGTTATTACTTTTCATAGGCAGCTAGCTGGTGAGCTGGTGAGCTGGTTAGCTTAGTGGAAGTAATGCGATGTCGGAGTGGGTTTCGTATCCCTTCGATGGCGCCTCCGTTTTGGGATTGCTCGTTGATTGGGCTTGACCGCAGAAAGTGTCAAATGACCAGTCGAGGTATTGGAATGGGTAGTTGTAGTGGTAGTATAACTGGTAACTGCTAACTGGCACAGGATGAAGTCAAGTAAGGCCAAAAGGAAGCACTGCAAGTGTTGATGGCGCCCGCTCGCCGAGGGCTGATTAATGCGCAGCCATTAATCTTGGCCAGCAATGGAGTTGGAGATCAGTTGGATCAGTTGGATCGTCGGGAAAAAGAAAGAGAGAGATCTGGATGGTGGACCACACAATGTGAGAGCTGGCTCTGTAATTGCAGCAGAAGTAGCAGCAGATCACAAAACAGCAGATCGGATCGGGGATGGAACACAGCGACACAACAGCACACGAAAAACAAAACAAAATCCCGCACCAGATGATAATTATGTAGAATGATAGTTCCTTTCTTATACGATCTCTACCCCCCGCCCCCCTTGTTTTCGTTTTGAAGTGTACAATTTCACAACATTTAATTCAAGATTTGACGGGTGGCCAAGGGGTATGGGATGGTATGGTATGGTATATGGTATCTTTTAGTATGGAGCGAACAGGTTCCAAGGCTCCGAAGATTGAGCGACAGGTACGCTGTGCACTGTGTGTGTGTTTCTTACAAGACCTCCCGCACATGTAAAACATGCCGATTCATAATTCCGCATTTTGCTGCTTAAAGAGGAGCGAACTGAGTGGACAGCCCAGAAGCAGGGGGATGGGGAATGGGGGGTTGGGGGATCGGGAATCGGTAGATGGAGAGATGCCTCACAAGCGTTGACTGACAGGCCGCACGGAAAGGCAGGAGAAACGGCAAAGGAGGGCCCGGTTTCGAGGACAAAAACTGGAGAATCTCGAAGAATCGATAAACGAGGGGACCACCCACAGAAGAACTGTCTTCTTTGGGATCCTGTGAAAAGTCCTTGCTTTTTCGGTTGACTAAAATATATGTTATATTTTAATATGACATAAAAAGGACATTCTATCTTTAGATACTTGGCTAACCATTTCTAGTCCTGGCCAACACAGATACTCTCGGCCACAAATACACACACACAGACACAGCCACTTCGATGCGAAGACAAATGAAGCAGCGGCCAAAGCAGAAATACGATAATTGAGTGCTCATTTGTCTTACACGCAGCCAAACGGACAAGTCGTGAAGGGGGGTTCCGGGGGTTCCGGGGGATTCGGGGGGTTCGGCGGCCTCAGAGGGTTTAGGGTATTGTATCTGAAGCTACGTATCTGTCTCTCGGCTGCTGCACGCGTTTTAATGCCCACATTGAAGTCTTTATGACAGCGCCGCAATGGGATTCAGATTCAGATTCGGATTGGGAATGGGATTGCGATTTCGATTTCGATTTCGAATTGGAATTGAAACTGCAATCCTGCATCAGTGTATCGAATGTCCTGGTCGCCTGATTTCGCATAATTACACACATGTCAGCTTTGATTTCGATTCCTCAATTCCTCAATCGCAATTGTTTTGTAATGGCCATGCCATGTCGGATGGTCAGATGGTAAGATAGTCGGCTAGTCAGATCGACGGATAGTCGGTTAGACAAAGTGGGAAATTGATAACCAAGACTGGTAGTGCAAGTTGCAAGTGCAACCGTATCGGGCATCGGGTATCGGGTATCGAGTATCACTGGCGGCTCATTCGATGGCAAATTAATATAATTATCGTTGCACGAACCGGAATTACACGGCCGGCGGAGAGCAATTGTCAGAGCCAGCAGGTCCGCCCCTTTGCCACTCCACTCCACCACTCCTTTTCTTGTCTTGTCTTGTCTTTCCACAGTTCAGTTCGAGCCAAGCCAAGCAAATAAACAATCAGAGAAACGGCTCAGAGGCTCGGAGGCCCTGGCTATATGCTATCTGCTATATGCTATATGCTATAATTAACGCCACAAACGCAAATATTAAGCCAGCATCGATAGCAGCAATCTGCCAGTCACTCAGATTTGTATCTGTGTATCGTGATCTGCATCTCTGTATCTCTGTATCTTTGCATTTGTCGTAAGTATCTTGTATTGCATAAAATAGGCGCACTGCCATTTCACATGGGAAATGGTGAGTGCACTGATAGATATATGTTTTCGTTTTCGGGACCCATCGAATTTTCATATCTGAAGGTTAGCACGGGGGGCCAGTGCCATGTCACTCTCAATTTCAGTTTGAATTTCAATTTCAGCTGCCATCTGCATCTCAACCGCTTTTCTTGATGTCTTGATTGAGTTGCCAAATTGTGGCCGGTCTGCGACTTGTTAGCAAAGCCAATTAAATGTAATTAGCCGGCGCAAGAACAGTTCAATTAGAGTCCAAAGTCGGCCATAGGCAGGGGGCATCGAACAGCTGATACCCTTACTATACACACAAAGAAAAAACTTGGTAAAATCAACTGTAATAATTGTCAAACAGGCCCCAACCAGCAAAATTGTCAATTCTACTAAGTAAATTGTCATTTCACAACAACAAAATACACACAATTAGCAAAGACACAAACCCAAAGCAAAAACAAAATACACGTAACTATTTTAATAGTTACGTAACTATCTTTGTTGGTCAATTTTACCAAGCAAATTTTTTTGTGTGTAGTACCGGGAAAAATCCAGGAACTGAGAAGAAGTTATATTTGAATCATTGATATGTCAGGCTACAAAGTACAAAGTACACAGTGGAAAATTAATTGGATCACCTATCTAATGAAAGTCTTTTGATTTTGTTTTTAAGAGAACTTCGATTGAAATTAAATTGTTCGCCCAAATTCAAAATTAGTTTGATTCTTAAACTAATTTTGATTTTTTGCAAAAATATTTTGCACAACAAATTTGGTTGATAATCGCAATTAACTAAAAAATATATAAAATATATAAAAAATAATAACTATGATACAAGTTCACATACCAATTTTCATATAATTCTATAATTATTTTATGTGGGCGATCCTTCTTAATATCTGTAACAAATTCTTATTTTGAAACTTTATCCTGATGAGTTATTTTTGATTTACTAACCATTAGAAAGAGCATAGATCTGTGAAGCAGCTGAAATACCAATTAAATGGATGTCAAGAAGTTGAAGCCGATAGGTGTTGGAACCACTTGTCTTTGTTGCTTCTTAATGATAAAACAATTGCAGCCATTTGAGAGACAGGAACTGTTGAAAGTGGCAAAGGCGAATAATAATTTGGCTGACATATCGCACCATAAATACCAGCTCATTCTACAGCTTCTTTCGGTGTAGCCCCGAGATGATCCCGAACTCTGAGAGGAGATGAGCTCGCAGGAGGTTCGTTTC